TACGACAAATAAACTTACTATATTAATTATTACTTAAATAACACTAATATAATTTTATTAATATAGTAGGTTTATTTGTGGTATATAGACGGTTGGCTCCACTATGGAGCCAACTGTTGGCTTCATAGCAAAACCGTATTTTTCATAGAAATGTATTGTAGAAAATGCATTAATCCAAGGGGACATGATCTTATCATAATCTATCAATACAAATCTTGACATGAATATAGAATGTGTGTCATATTTTTCTTATATGTAACAAGTTTTAGGTGTATATTCTTTGGTACATGAAGGACATACTGAAATTGGGAGATAAATTTTATGGCATTATTAATTTGGTCGAATTATTATAATTCAATTTTATATAGATATTTCGTGAAATGGCTTGAAAGTTCTAGTTAAAAAGCCCATTTGTCTTTTACTTCAAATTATCAAGTGACACCCAGTCACCCACCAAAATATGTATCGGAAAAATTGTATTTTTGGTCTTGCTAGTTTAACGATGTAGCATTTTTAGTCCCAAAATTTTAACTTTTTATCTTTTGATCATGTAATTTAATATTTTGTTGCAATTTCAGTCTTTCGAACATGATTGAAATTGCAACGAAATTTAAAATTACAGGACTTAAATTGATAATAAAAAATCCGTCCAAAAGATTTTTTTTATAAATAATTGAAGTCCTGTGATTTTAAATTTTGTTGCATTTTTTCTGTCCCAAAAGATTAAAATCGCATTGAGTTTTAAAATCATAAAACCAAAATAGCAAAAAGTCAATTCTTAATACTAAAAACGACACTGAATCAAACCAATGTCACTAAAATTGCAATTTTGCCGTATATCCCATTTTTTTTTTAAGTACAAATTAACTTATACAGACACTCAAGCCACTAAATCAAACCGACATCACTAAAATTGCAATTTTGCAGTATATCCCATTTTTTTTAAGTACAAATTAACTTATACAGACACCCAAGCTGCTTAGAAAATCGAGTTTACTTAAAAGCAGAAAATATTTTATTCTACCTAATAATAATTTTTTTGCATATCATGCTGCAACATGATCACTTTACAAAATAAACGAAGCTTCTGAGCTTTATAAGATATAAATAACGAGACAAATCACTTAGAAATTTTAAACTTCTAAAATTTCGTCCTCTGTTTAATTAGGTAAGAAAAAGGTTGGGAGCATTATAATGATGTGCCATTATACTAAATTGAGATTCCATTTTTGGTTAGATTGTTTGGCTTTTTTCTGACAGACATGCTAAGATAACTAATAAAAAATAAAAAATTGAATCAATTATTAGTCTTTAATTATATAAACAAGGTTTAAAAAGCTAATAAATGGTCCTCAAAATGATTTTGTTTGGTGGGAATTTGCTTGATATATAGTTTTGAAAACATTTACTTTGGTCTTAATCAAATTGGTTCCTTTATGTTGTTGTCCCACCACCAAGATAATGCATCATAAACTTTTGAATTATACAGTAATCTTATGTCTTTAGAAGTTAATACTACCTCCTATGTTTAATATATGTCGTTTTGAAAAGTTGCACATTAATTCAGAATATTTTTTTTGTCAATAATAATTTTATTTAATGAAGATAGAGATGAATGTTTTGAGAAAAGATGAAGAGTGGATATGAAAAGACGTGACGTATTTATTATGTAAATGAGGGTAATAATGGAAAAATATGTACAAAGATAGAAAATGACATTTATTTGGTTAATAGTTGATAAAACCAAAATGACATTAAAAAAAAAAGTAGGAGGGATTATTTTTAAAAAACTACAAAAACTCCAAAAGGATGCAAATATAAAAGTAAATTGAACGTACACTTATTTTAAAATGCTCATTCCTCACTCGTTATATATATATATATATATTAAAAAAAACACTTTGATGAAAAGGAAAATTCGTGTTTTGTTGCGTTTTTTGTAATTGAATCAACACAAGACATGTGGGATTGTATATGAGCGTGTGTGATCTAACGATAAAAAATACGATGAGAGCACAAAGATTAAATTTTCTAAATCAAAGAATTCATCCATTTAAAATTAAGCGATAAATGATTCAATTCTTGCACTTCTCCTCTCAATTTAAGTTTTAATAGAAAATCCTTTAATAAATCTTGAAAAATGATCAACCAAACAAATAATATATATACTACTTAAAATATATGAAACACAAAAAATGATTTTACTCCATTATAAGTCTTTACTTAGAAGATTGTTTTGCTTGGCTTAAGATAGGTCGCTTGCTATGCTATGTCTTTTAATACCCCTTTATTAAAAAGAGGCAAAAGAAGCAACCTTTAGATAAACAAAGCAATGATAAGAAAACCAACAATTTTAGGAATTTAGATTAAATATTCCCTAAATATTATTAAAGACTACTAATATTCTTCCTACCAAACAAGCATCATCACTTGGGTCCATAAGGGAAAAACAAATAAGGCATTTCAAAGATCAAGAAAAAAGACCAAGAGCGCTTGGATGAGATGGTTTGAGTCTCTTTCAGCTTAATCAGTGGTCTCGAGTTCGAGTCTTGGGAATGCAGCAGTGTTAAAACTCTTGAGGGAGAGCTTTGCCGCCCTTGTGGTCCTACCCGGCTCGATTCCGGATTAGTCGGTTCCCCTGTGGATCCGGAAACCGGAAGGTTCCTGTAAAAAAAAAAAAAAAAAAAAAAAATCAAGAAAAAAGCATTTGCCCTTCATTATTAATTGATTTATTTCCATTGTTTTCAAGAAATTTAATGCTAACTCATATTTTTTCCCTTTAATTTGATTGGGGGTGTTGGGTAGGCTCTATCTATATACCCAATTCAATATTAGGGTCCAACTTTAACTCTCTTCACTTTTGAGTTGACCATAGTTAAGTTAGTTAACCATTGCCTTGTCCTAGACTCCTAGCTATTATATTAATTAAGGACTAATAATTTCTGACCATCATAAAGAGCCTTCATATTTTATCATTTATGTATGTCTCTTTCAATTTGGATCCTTGTCTATTTTACATGCCATTTATGTGTTCATTTCTTCATGCGTAGTTTATATCTTTGCTACTCTTATACATAAAAGAGAAGCATTCAATATCCACAACAACTGTGGATACTCTTTCAATACTTACAAAATTAAAAATAATCGACTGATATCGTATGATATCGACCCAGAGAGTTAAACATGTTCGTCAACAATCGTCAAGTCAAGTTAAGTCAACATGATCGAACAAAAAATAGATGAGAAATCAAGAAAGAAGAGAAGAAATGCTTCTTTGGGGTATTGCAATTGTCATTTCCTTCTTTAGTTAACCATCATTATATTATATGATGCTTATTTTGTTTATAGTTGGATAATTAATATGTTGCCAATAAGTAAATAAATTTTATAAGCAAGGTATATTGTTCCACCTAACACATATAAACTTAAGACTTGTCTAATCTAGAAATAACAACCAAATGTATAGCATTATATGTGCAGGCAAAAAGTACAATAAAACTCAACAACTCATGGGACTGTATGTATTTATATCACTATGAGACAATCAGTGGTCCTAACAATTACCAACTCTGAACTCTATCCTTTTTACAGTAGTCTTATATATATGTAGAAAAAAATGTACCTTAATGAGGAAAAAAGAAAAAAAAAGGATGAAGCCAACTCGAGCTTATGATATTCGAGCTCAAACTCGCGCCCTTATCAAGCTCATGAGCCGTGTTTATCAAGCTCTCTCTCTTTAACGAGTCGATTGAAAAAAGAGAAAAAAAAAGGATAAAGTCAACTCGAGCTTATGATATTCGAGCTCAAACTCGAACCCTTATCAAGCAGAGCCGTGTTTATCAAGCTCTCTCTTTAACGAGTCGATATATAAGTAACAAGATGAAATAGGCTGAACTAAGGAGCTTTCCTTTTATTTAATTTAGGTGAAAATATTGAGACCCAAAAAAAAAAATAAAAAATTAAGATAGTGAATTAGTACTGTTGGGAAATATAATTAATTTATTGGTATTTGGGAACACTTTCAATTTTACATGAGAGTGACTGGTTTGGTGTCGGTGGGAATGAACTTTAAATTGTCAATTTTTATAATACTTAAAATCTAAAAATATTGCATATCATAGAATCTCAACTTCCCCAAGTAAATACACCATTGAATTACAGTACGAAATAATGATCCCAAGACTTCAACTATCATGAATTAAATAATAGAGACGAATATATATATATATATATATATATATATATATATATATATATATATGCTCAAATGATCACGTAGTATTTCACATCTTAAGATAAAACCTAGATTCCACCTTACTGCAATAATCGGTTTTTTCGTCATTCGATCAGTAATATACACATCATTGTTTTTTTTTTGGTTAAATCAACACATTGATGTTAGTATTTGTGTGTTGATCTAAGAATAAAAAATTCAATAACAGTAATATATGTGTAAAAAAATTCAATAACTAACGGCAAATGCATGATCAGGTACCATCCAGTCAAGTGTTCTAACCGCTGAATTATCCATCTTATAGTAACTACATGTGTATTTTACGGTTAAAATACCCAACAAGATGGTACCGTAACATGACCGTAACATTTTACATAACTTTATAGTAGTCCCTATACATCAAGCTCTAGTTGAATTAAATTACCAGCAGATGGATCATTAAATCAATAGTTAATTTACGTTTGAGAATCACAACTATACACATATTAAATAGGGTCCAGCAGATTCGTAGATTTACTACTTTCACCTACAGCCAGACACAATTAATTGTAGCTAGGTCAGAAAATAAGTGATTTGAGTACAATTAATCACATGCTAAACAATAGCTAGCACTTTAATTTATTTCTTAATTAAATAATTACTGGTTGAAGTGGATAATCGAGACAGTTACAGTAAAGTAACCCCGAGATAGTCTATTAATTAAAAAACTATTAAAAAACTAAAAAAACAAAAAAAATAAAAAAAAACAAAAAACAAAACTGAAAAATTAACGGCCGTTAACAAGAGTACTAACGGCTGTTTCCTTGCACGGGCTTGGCGGCAAGCTGCTCCGCCCTGGCGCAACAAGTCGTTGAGCAAATCCGCTGATCCTCTCACCGTTAGTCTCCGTTAACAACCGCTTCCCGCCAAACGGCAGCGATTCTATTCCTCTTTCCGCCAGCACCGCGGCCGCCTTCTCCACGGAGCTGTTGGCCTGAAGATTGACGCCGTTTAGTCATGAGTCATCAACAACAGTGAACAAACTCTGTTTTCTTTCCTTTTTTTTTTTTTTTTTAAATAGCTGTATTGAAATTTACCTGGATTCTGACGTATTCGTTAGGATTCCAGCAGAAGGCATTTCCGAGCATTTGGTCAATTGTTTCCGAAACTCCGTCGAGGACAATGCCGACGATGGAAGCCGTCGAGCACTCTCCATCACGACGCTTTTCCACCGCCGACGGTCCATTACCGATCGACAGAACCAGCAGATCCTCGACGCCGGTGACCCCCGGAAAATCTCGCTTGTTATGGAGGACGTGAGTAACGGCGGCGGCGGTGGGGTTATTCATGACGAGTCCGCCGTCCACCGCCAGGCATGAAGTTTTTCCGTCGAGCGAGGTCAGCTCGAACGGCTTGAACGCCGAAGGCGTAGCCGACGTGGCGCGGATGACCTTCCACAGCTCGAAGTCGAAGCTCGGCGACTCGGAGGCGTCCGCACGGGAGAAGACGAACGGTGCCAAGCTCTTCAGATCGAAGCACGGCACCAGTAAAGGCTTACACGCGTCCTTCAAGCTCAAATCCCTGCCGTTGCCCCCTCGGAAAGCCCTCCTCAGAACGGTGTCCATGCTCCTACCGGAAAACCTCTTCCGCCGGCGGAAAACGCCTCCGCGCGCAGCTCGGAACATCTCCTCCCGATTCTCCGACAGGAAGGCCACGGCGTCCCTCGCGGAGAAGATCGGGCGTCCGTCGCTGTCCCCGACGACGAGCATCGCGGCGAGGAGAGCGCCGATTCCTGTGCCGGCGACGATGTCGAAGAAATCAGCGATTCGAGCGTTGGGATCGCCGGTTTTCTCCCGGATCTGGTTCTCGAGGTGGACAAGTGCGGCGCCGGCGACGATGGCGGAGGTTCCGCCGCCGTCGATGCTCAGAATAGCCGTCTTCTTCCCCTGGCAGTGGTACAGCCACTTCTGCTCCAGCCTGGAGAAAATCTCGAGGGTTGCCTTGCTCGGTTCCATGTGAGTAACAGTACAACAACAGAAACAGAGAGAAAAAAGCAGATAAAATGAGATTTTCAATGGAGATTTGTGCTATAGACAGAGCAGATAATACAGTGCAGTCAGCTAGCTAGCTATAGGTACAGTACAGAGCAAAGGAATAGTGAGAGAAAATCCGTGAGAAAAGCGACAGGTCACGCTTTATTGCTGAGCTGAGCGCACATTAATGGCGGTGAGAGGAAATGCAAATTCTCACGAACACGCACTGAGTGTGTGACCGCGCAGAATATATTTTGTTTTGTAGGGAGTGACTGACTGAGTGAGGGGAAAGGTAGGTTACGTGCGATCTTTATATTAGCGGATGTTCTTTGCTTTTATAATTTCACTAATTAAATTGATTTATATTTAAATATCTCTAAGCATGGTGATTGACACGATTAATTATTTAAATGAGAATTTTGGGTCAATTCAGTTATTTCTACAAAACGAGTAGTTCGTGAGTTCAATTCAACTTGGCTCATCAAACGAACCAAATTTTAGTGTATTCAGTTAACGAATCGAGCTCGACATACTAAAATTCAAGCTCGATTCGTTAATATTGATAAAAGAGTCAACAAACTCAAGCTCATTAACAGCCTGTACCGGTAATGATTTGAGCATGGTTCGGCTCGAATAGAGACTCAAGTTTCGCTCAGCTCGTTTATATCTCTAGTAATAATCATTCTTTCATTATTTAATTTGTAACATTTTCATCTGAACTCCAAAACAGTGGGAGTTCTAGCAAGTTGTACTATTAGCAACAAATATCACCCAATGAGTGCTCGTGATTGTGCAGGAGTACAAATTAGTTGATACATAGAGAAAATGTCAATCAATTCTCATCTCCTACGACTTTTGTGGCTAATCACTATTTGGCAAAACCACCCACCATTTGTGTCACATTCTTAACAAATGTAAGCATAAGGAACAACTGTGAGTAAGATTTACAATATTCAACAGGCAAAACAAGAAGAACCAGAAAAACAAACTCATCATACCCGACTGTTTCGAACACGTTTAGCATCTGAACAACATTGTCCAACAGATTCCAATGCTCAACAACAACATTCAATTTAAACTCTAGTTTCGACAAAATTGGTACATAAAATCTAAACATGTTATACCGATGCAAACGCAAACTATTACCTTCACATTTTAAATTAAAAAAAAAAACCAAATGACCAATCATTCCTTCACGGAGTCGAGGATTTAGCCTTGTTGGCATACTTACCATACCTTTTAGCCACCTCAGCATCAGTTAACAAATCCCACACCTGTAAAGTAACATGACAGTGGATTTTTGGTAAAAACTCCGATTATAATTCCAAATAACAAGCACTTCTTATCCAGAATAAAATGCAAACCCACCTGTAATTTTCCTTTGGAACCTCCGATAGCTAACGTAAAAGGGCAATCTTCGGAGAAAGAAACAGAAAATACAGCCCCCTATAACAAATATTAATTTAGAAAGTCAAAAAAAAATTTCACAAGCCAACAAATAAAACTATTACAGATAAATAGTTCTGCTAAACAGATATCAGCATATCGAGAATGTAATTTTTTAAAATGTAAAGAAAAGGAAAGAGAAGAAACAAGATAACGTTAATGAGCATTTGATAGCAGTCCTTCAACGACAAGAGAAAGTTACGAGAGGAGATTAATAAAAAGTAACATACAGCTTTCGGGTTTTTGGAAGCAATGCACGACGGTTGGTTCGATAAATCCCATAGCTTCACCTACAGTGGAGGATAAAAAATGCCAACAGTCATCATTTATATTTGTTAAGAAAACTACAAAACCAGGTTGAGGCTAAGGCTATGTTTTGGTAACCAAATAAGCTATCTTATAGCTTATTTGGTTAGCTTATAAGCTTCCTGTATTCAAATAAGCTTCGTGTGGCAGGACGAGCTTTTTTATAAAGCTTGAGCTTATCTCATAAGCTTCTTTGGGTATCTTTTCAAATAAGCTCGTTGAAAAATTTTATTTCAGCTATTTACCAAACACTTTTATCGGTTATAGCTTATAAGCTAGTTTTACCAAACATAGCATAATAATATAAACTAAAAGAAATCATGAGTTGAGACTTATACCATCTTATCCTCAGAACCAGTAGCCAGCAGCTGTGAACACATTATATTCTCAAGGTGAGTCCAAAAGTACAGTGCATCAAGTACAAGGGAAAAAATAGAAGACAATGAGGAGATACGATACATACATTTGGGATGGAAGTATTATAGGCAATTGTGCAGACTGCTTTGTCATGTGCATGGATTGTAAAGCTTGCCTCAGGCTGAGAGGAAGCTTTAGAACTAGCTTTTCGGATATCAAAACCAGTAACAGTGCCATTTTCAAGACTGACCTGACAAAAAAAAAAAAAAAAGTTTGAACATGTTCAGCTGTTCAATAAATTTACCGGTGATGAAAAAGAAAATATGGGCACATGAAAAGTCAAGATCAGAGAAAGTTATTAGCACAAACCACAAATGAATGCTCTGTGTGCGGGTCCCATGCTAAGCTCTCCACATCGGCTGCAACTGACCACGTAACTCCTTGATGTTCAGGTATTCTAACATCTTTCTGCAAAAAGGGCAATTTAGATTTTTTATATTTTTTAATGATCAAAACTTAAAATGAAGCTCGTAAAATCAAGATTTAGTACCATATTCACAGTGTGATCGAACGATCCACTAAGAAGAACACTGGGTGCAAAATGATTCCATGCTACAGCTTGGACCTGAAGCTCAATTGATAACAACTTATCAACATTGACCCCACAGAATAAGAATAAGAAAGAAACGATGCAACATTATGAAGTTGCAATAAAAAACTGTAATTCCATTGGTGCACGTGGAATAATGGAACTAAAATTAAGAGTCAGCCTTGCCTTGTCCACGTGGCTGGCAAAGGTTCTAGTACATGTTTCAGTTGCCACATCCCATATCTTAACCAACTTGTCCGCACTGGCGCTAGCGAGTCCATTACTGAACGTTCATATTAAAAAAAAGAAAGACGACAAAAGGCTAAATTAGTAACTTTCAAATCCTCCACCAAAATAGTGAATAAATTGTCTGGCGATTATGCAAAACCTGAACGCTTTGTTCCAAGCAAGTCCAAGAACTGCATCTGTGTGACTACCATCCTTGTATTTAATAGATTTCTACTCAGGAACGAAAAGGAGCATCCAATAAGCAAATTGTAGAAAGCAAAAGTTTTGTGATGGATTTCGACTTACTTAAACTACTGGAAATACATAAAGATAGGGTAATCAGCAAGTCATATATGAAACAAAAATAGCACACAGATAAGGCCAAAAAAATATCTATAAACAAAATAAGACGCAATGTAACCAATGTTAAAACTCACCTTCTTTCCCTTTCTCTTCTTTTCAATAATGCCACCCAGTGTTGCAGATGGTTGGACTTCATCAATCTAAAACAAACAGCATTTGAAGATTATAAGATCATCAAAATTCCAACAATGGTTCAATTATCTAACTATCAAAAGGGGACACAAACTACATACAATATCAAGGTCCCATATCTCAATGGCTGGTTCCATGGAGCCAATAGCAATGAAGTTCCCTATTGAGAAACAAGATTCACTTTATTAAGTGAGTAACGCCAATAACAGCAAAGACCAAACAAGAGAGAGAGAGACAGAGAGAGAGACTATGTTTGGTAAAACTAGCTGATAGTTGATAAGTAATTAACTCAAGCGAAAAGTTTATAGCTTATGACATATAGCTGAAAATGTAGCTTATACGATTAAAGTGTTCAGCTAAATGATAAGCTAGCTGAAATAAAAATTTCAACGATCTTATTAGAAAAGCTACCTAAAGAATCTTATGAGCTAAACTTGAACTTTTTAAAAAAGCTCGTCCAACCAAACAAAGCTTATTTGAATAAAGGAAGCTTATAAGCTAATAAATTAAGCTATAAGATAGCGTATTTGGTTACCAAACATAGCCTAAACGCATTCCATAGTTGAATCCCCTGAGATATCAAATTCTGGCAGTTTGTCCGAAATTATATGCTAAAGAGTTTACATAAGATTATCTACACCCATATGAAAAGGGTACATATGCCAAAGGTCACTATGAGTTAATAACAGTTACTAGCCTACTACATAGAAAGATGATCAACTAACTCATATAAAAGGTCAATGTGTGCATTCACTTTTGTTACCTTTGTCTCCACCTTTAAGAGGACAACCAAGCCACGCTGTGCAGAGTGGAAATGCCGGGATGACAATATCATGGTGCACGTACATGTTTGAATCACCGTTTGTCGGGTCTTCCAATATCCATACCTACAATTTAGAAATCGAATTTAGGGATCATGATGATGTCTTCATAATGGAAAGAACTTGAAGATGCACGTATTTTTCCTACTTCTACACAAAAAAATTACATGCCTCAAGATGGCTGACATCATCCTCATTCCGAGCACAGACTATGACTGCATCCTCTGGCTTTATGGTAATATCTTCTTCCTCTTCAGAGTCTTCTTCCTAATTGAGTAAAAGATATGTCAAATAGTAAGCTTACATCTTAAGGAATGTGAGAATTATAGAACTCAAACTATAATATGGGGAAACTTACATCCTGGCCCTTCAAATAAGGATCCATATCATTACTTGGGTAATATAAGTTGCCAAGACCCGAGCCAAACAACTCAACACCTGATCTTCACAAAGAAAAACTCCATTCAGTAACTCCCAATAACGAAAGCATTTCGTGAAAAAAAAAAGTGCAAATGCAGGATAGTTTAAGCAATATCCAAGGGAGGCCCAAATAGTCAATTTCATTCACATGCTCGGATTTTTTTCTGTGCAACAATATCAATAGAGTTACTAGACAAATATACCATCATCCTCCTCGTCGTAATTATCCATGTCTAGCTCTTTCAACGCATCCGCCAAGCTGTCGGATTCCATCTTCGAACTCTTGGGAGCTTTCCCAAGTGCACTGGCAGCAGATAACGCACGGGAAAGTTCGTCATCTTGACTAACTGCATCATCAACATTCATATCTTCATTGTTTTCCTCATTTTCACTCTCTCCACTGCAAATATCACACAAATTCATCCTTGTAAGTCATGAAATAACAAAAATCGACACAGCCCAGTCTCAATTTTCTCATTTTTGAAGGGCAGCGAAAATCTAACCGTGTTTCAAGGAGACCACTCTTCAGTATCTCTTCTATTTTCTCATTTGAAGGGGGATCAGCTGCTGATGGAACCGATTTTGAGACCCCTTTAGGGACCCAGGAAATCGATGATATCATTCTTGATAACAAAAGCCTATATAAATTCAATTCAGAGCGGAAAAGAGAAATGGGAGAGAAGGAGAATCAATATAAAAGATCAGTAACCTGAGAAGTTGTTGCGAGAACTATCGTATTAAGATACAGGGCTTACCCTTAAACCCTAGTCGTTATAGTGACTCGGCCGGGGGACCCGGCAAAACCCGCAGTTCGGCGGGTCGAACAGAGGAAATGGCAACCCGGCCCTAACCCGTATCGAGCTGCAATTTGCAGGCCCTAACCAATTATTCATATGCATCACATCAACTTTAATTCACTATTCATCTACTCACATAATTTTAACTACATATCATTCTAATAATTTATCTCTTAATTTTACATCAAATCAATTTTAATTATTTTATTTTAAATATTATTTTAATACATTTTTAAAATTCCACTAACAACTAACCATACCACGTTTTTCAAAATTAACTATGGTTAACCAAAATAACTCATTCTAAACAAATTATTCATAAACAATCAAACCCTATTTTCTATTCTGGTTACCGATTGTCTGAATTTGAAAAGAAAAATTATACAATGCCATTTTCTATATGCCCTTTATATATAATTCTCGAATACACCGAGCCTACGTGGCTGCTTCTGGTGCTTCGGAATCTTATTTGGCGAAGAATAATGCTTTGTAATTAGGTTTGAACAAATAATATTGATATTAATAATTAATAATTTAGGTTCGAACATTCCATAAATATTATTTAGCTAACTTAGGTATTTTAATATAATTGTACTTATATAACTCTTTAATTCTTTGTAATTTTATATAGTGAGACCCTAAGTGACTAATATATTCTTGACTTTTGATTTGTTTCCTACAATTAGATATTGAATAGTAAATATATTTTAAAAGTTGATAACTTTTGTATTTCTTATTGATTTTACATATATAATATATCAAATTAATCATTTTTTCATGATATTCGATTTGACATCCCTATTGTATATATAAAATAAATAAATTATATTTATCTTTATAATAATAAAAAATAATAATATTTATTAAAATTTATTAGAAAAATAAAATTATTTCTCGGTGATATATTTATGTTTAATGTAGTTATATGTTGTAAGTTAAAAAAATTATTATAATATAACACAAGTAAGTCACACAAATAAAAAGTGTCATACTAAATATATAATAATATATATATATTTTAATAAAAGGTATTTAAATTTTTATTTTTTTCTCATTAATTTTAGATTTTAAGGAAAAAAATAGCAAGCACCCGTGTAATACACAGTCGTTGTACTAGTATTTATGACACTAAAAACACTCAGCCAGTTTGTTCTTGGTTGTTTGCTGGATAAGACCAGTTTTTTCTAACATTTTTTTTTTTTTTTTTCTTCAGTTTTTTCCAATGTATAAACTTGTATGAACTTTTCCATATACAGCTTTTCCAACCTTCTTTTGCATTATAGGTTTTCCCAACCTTAATTCCACACATACGCATCCTAAAAGAGTTAAGAAAATACAGCAAGTTTTATATGTTATAATCGAATGTTCTCCATGCAATGTTCGTCTGACAGCTACTAAATGCATTTTAGACCAACGGTGATTCTTTCTGCGTTAATTTAAAGGTACTTTGATGTGTAGTTTGTTTTGGTTGTTCCCACAGATGAATGTTTATGCAAGTATTTTTAATGGTTTATTCGTGGTTTTGTTGTATTGTGTTCCATAATAAACTCAGTTATACCAATAGTCCTTTTGGAATGGCTGAAAAGTGACTCGAGTTCGCAAGAAAAAAAACCAACGCAGCATCACGAAATATCACAGTATTGAAGGAGCATAGCATTGAGTCCAAAGAAAGCAACACAGCTTTTTCACTAAGATCTGCATCCAAAGAGCTGGTTCATATAGAAACAAACCAAGAGTTCATGAGTAGATTTGTAGGCATTTTTATCCCCAAAACACGAATTGCTGACATTTTACAATAGCATGGCTGCTCAAAAACAGATATTCTTCTGATCAAAGAGTATCAGACCTAATCATATTCAAGTTCATCGGGAGTAACAGGGCGTTTGAGAGGAATAACAGATTTTTTCTCCACATCCCTTGATAAAGCCTTCCTCATATCTGAAAAGGTAAAAAGGGCGCGTATCAAAACAAGTTCTATTAAAGACCCAAACAGAACAAGACTTTCTAAGAGTTGTACACAAGAAACTCACCCAACCCATCCTCCTCTCCAGAGTAATACCGAAGCACGCGCCTGTAGACTACATAACCAAGCTGTGGAAAGGAAATTTTTAAGGGGGAAAAGAAAAAAAGAGTTGATTAAAAGAAGCTCTTCTGTTTATGGATAATAAGGCCATCAACATACTTACATTATAAAATTTAGTCAGGCTCCATAAATAATTGTTATAAAATGCAAAACAACCAATACAATAGTCTTAGTACCTTCTCATACATCTTGATGGCAGGTGTATTTGAAGCTCTCACAAAGAGATCCACGAAATAAGCCTTGTCACTTCAAAAGGCAAGCACAACTAAATTATTTATGCACTTTGAAAAGGGAAAAAAAATCCTCTAACAATTTACATGAAGACTAAGATGTTGTCTACCGTACTCAATATTTAAGCATTTTGGAGATGTGAGAAGCAAAGAGATACTGAAAAGGCTAACCTATTCGAGCTATCTTGCACATGTACACTATAACTTAAAATAAAAACAAGCTCGTATGAAACTAGATTTTTAACTCCGTCACAACGTACAGGTCGAGATACCAATTATCCAACAACAACTAGTTGGTTCAGTCACAAGCATACTAATGGATTGTCATTCAACATGAAAATGAAAATTTATGAGACTCCTTTTACCCTTATAACAAAAAGAAAGAACAAAGCATAAAGCTTGGCCACTTTATTCATTCTTGGATACATTTTGAACCCCAAGTCCAAAAAACCACCTTACTTTTGTTGTACTGAAATAAAAAACCAAGAAAAACATGGAGCAAAAATGGTGCAAATGGCAATAAGAGAACCAGGGAGGGAGGAACAGAAAAGTTGTAACTAATGCCAAGGTTTGAAGAAAAGAAGAGAGATAAAAGTAAAAATAAAACGAAATTCTAGTAAGATAAGAAGAGAATGTCAATGAATTCAACTTGAGAGAACTCTGTCAATGATGAGGATGAGATCACATTTTATTCAGAATGGCACTCTCAAAGATTATTGTATAAGTATTTAGTATTTTCTGAAATCAGCAATTAGCAAAACCCTTACATTTTGTCACTGATGTCCTCAAGGAGGTTCATCAGTTTCTTGGCCAATTGCTGCCGTCGATATTCTGGAGCTACCGTCACTGCAGTGACATGACCATGCCAGGACTCCCCTTGTCCCTCAACCTTTCCCATAACTGTAAAAATAACCAAAACTTATGCTTAGTACTTACACAGCAAATGATGAACAAATCCGAGAAATGTATCGAGAAAATCAACAAGCTACAAGTTAGGATCCGAAGACATTTTTAGGTAGCTTCTCAATTGTGTTAATTGCTCTGAATAAACACGACAAGAATCAAAACCCTGATAAGAAAGAAACATTGTCACATATTGTCATAGTTCTTATGTAAGACCGAGCATAGACTTTTTTAGTGTCAGTGTCAGTCAAAATCTATGAAAACGAAAGACAACGATTAATCTCTTCCACCTGTATTCACCATTAATCAGCACAAATGGAAGAAACCGTAACACTATACTGATACACGTCAAAATCTCAATGAAGCTGTTCCACCCGCAGAAGTAAGACACAACAAACCCACTTACCCAAGCAAAACCATAACCTTTTCTTTCTCTCTCTCTCTTCAAATGCAGCTCATACCACCATTCATGGACAAATTCATGTTTTAGTACAATTAACAAGATAAACTACCCAGTATTATCAAACCAAAATATCTCCACCATAGCAATACTACTTTCGGCATCAACTTAAACTAAAATGAAACAAGACTGCAATTATAACTACCATTAAATTAGGTCAACTCACTGTAGCCCATTATCCTGTTTCCTGGAGCTTCAGCAACGTGTAAATAATCCGGCCACCTCGCCAAATATGTCATATAGAACGACATGTTGAACTGCACTTGATGATGATAGTTCACAACAATTAGACGTCCATGGTTACAGAATTACAGCTCGTACGTTCGAGTTCTTAACAAAACCCTATAACTCCATTAAAAATGAGAGAGAGAGAGAGAACTAACGGTTTCAGTGAGATGGTCGAGATTCACCGACGCGAACCGCAGGAGATCGTTACAGCAGAACCTTCGAATCGTCGTCATCTCTACGTCTATCTTCGACAGCGAGCGAGATTTTGGTCCGGCGTGAATTTATCTGTGAAGTACTGAAGTGAATTGTTTCACAGGATTCCGGTTTACGACCCGGACCCGTCTTCGAAGTCTATCATGAGGCAAGTGGATGGTCCAGTTTGTTCCAAGCCCAACTCGTTTGGACGGGTTTTAACGGCCCTGCCCGATCTTTCCTTGCTTAGGCCCAGTCTATTAAAAAAAAATTTTCTACTGTGAAAATTATTATTGAGTAAGTATATTTCAATAAGATTTATTTTAAAAAATATATTTTTACATTTGCCAAAAAGGTAACTAGCACTATAATTATCCATGTATTAAGTTAAGAGTTAACTCAGAATTTTATATTTATAAACTTTTAAAAATAATCTTTTTTTTTTTTTTATTTTGAGCTTTTGAATATTTCTAATGAATAATGTTAATTATAGTATTTTTTTCAAATTATTATATAATTGATAGATAAATTAATCTTTTTCAGCTATAATTATATTTATTTAATTATTTCAAATTTCATATATGTAATATGAATATGATATCGGAAATCGTTAAATAATGAATTTGGTATATAATGTATAAGAATTTGATAATAAATATGAAATAATTTACAATGTAATTATAATTTAAATTAACTATATATTTATAATTTTAAAATTGACTGGAGTTATGTGGTAAATTAATTTTGAATTTAAACTGTATTTTTATTAAAATAAAGCTTATACTTTCACATAATTACTAGTTTTTGGCCCGTGCATTTGCACGGAAAGTTATATGATAGAAGAGAATAAAGTAAAAAAAAAACAAATATAAAAATAATAACATAATCATTGAAACAAAATAAGAAATAATATCTAAATATTATTAAATATTTCTTTATATACAACGTTCGTGGTTTTTCTATCGTCACAATCTCCATCAACACAAATTATTATCTCCAAACTCCTCCGACTGATGACTCTAGATCGTGCCACATACAATTTTGGTCAACAAATCTCTTGTCAACACCTTTTGAAGATGGTAGTTTGCACATTTTGGTACATGACTATTCTAACGATTATATCTTCAAAATAATAATAATAATAACAACAATAATAAAAAAAAATAATTGATTGATATAATTAAAACAACAAAGGAAAATGTAATAGCTATTTATAAAGACAAAAAATTAAACAGTACCTATAAGCATAGTTGGGTTAACAAACTTGGGACTATTGTACCCTCACTTGGCGTGTACCATGTCCCGAGTTCGAGTCAATCGGAGGGAATTGGGGAACCAGTTTAGATCCTCCTTTTTAAGAAGAAAAAAACAAACTTGGGACTATTTAAAACCTTGAAATTTTTGAACTTGTACATGGAAGAATTTATAAACACCGCCAGTTTTGTTTTTCCATAAAATAAGAATATATTGAAATTCATCCATGTTTTGAAGGAGTTAGTATTGGGATTATAAACAAATTTATCTGGCCATCATAATTTAGCTAATTATTAATTTATTTTAATTAATATAAATAATTCGAATTATAATGTGTCTGATCTTTGGGATTGATTTTTGCAAAATAAATATGAATAAACAACTGTTATAAGTCATTCTTTTACTGATGGGAATTTTCCAATTACGGGGAATAATTATCATAATTATTTTATTAATAATTATAATAAGCAATTTGGAAGTGACATAATGTGAAGGAAATGATAATAATATAAGTCATTCTAGTGCTCAACCCGTGCATTTGCACGGAGAAAAATACTTAGAAAAGATAATAATATAAAAAAATACATAACCATAATTCATTTCATGAGAAAAAATATGAATTAAGAAAATGATTTTAAATTTTATTAAACATATTGTTTGTATACAATATTTATGGTTTTTCTATCGTCAGAATCACCATCACCACATATCATTATTTTCAAACACTTCCCATTAGTAACTCCAGAAAAGCAACGTCCAATTGTTTATTACTGAAAACAGGGTCATTCAAGACTAAGCGAACGTGTGAGAGAGATTGATCTTGACTCTTGATGATCGCCATAGTATAGGAGACCATGTTAAAAAAAAATTTGCGTCGAAATTTTAACGGTACCCTCAAACAAATAGGAAATAATAAAATAGAAGAGCCATTACAACCATTTTCTTTATGCTAAATCAATTTTGTAACTCCCTTAATTGATTTATGCTCATAATTTATGACATTCAAGCAAGTTAATTTGTAACTTAAAAATGAAATTGAATGCTAAAAAAATTGGAGGGAGAATAAAATTTAATGCATCATAATAAAATTAAATGCTTGTCTTGCCAAATTATATATTTATAGATTTGCCTAGCGAATGACAAAAATTAATGTGTGTTTATTTTGAAAGAAACGTGATATAAACGCCGACGCCGTGCCCCTAAATCGACGAAAAAAAAACCTAATCTCCGGCTAGCAATCGCCGATCAAAAACCATGGACATCCTTAAGCAGGAGCTTCTGAAAAAGCGGCAGAGCCTCGCGGAGGACGTCGGCGGCAAGAAATTCTTCAAGCGCTCCGAGATCGAGCAGAAGCGCCTCCAGCGCCTCCGCGAAGAGGAGAAACGCGAGGCCGAGGCCAAAGCCCTCCGCCGCCAGAAGCAATCCCAGCAGGAACAGCATCAGAACGACCCTGCCTCTTCCTCCTCCAACCCTAGCTCCAAGTCAGAAATCCCCAAATCAAAGCCCGAATCCTCCTCCAAATCCCTCGCCGAGGAGCATAACATCGATGACCTCAACCTCCCCCGGCCGGAAGTCGTCCGCCGCCTACGATTCCTTAAACAGCCGGTGACCCTCTTCGGTGAGGACGACCAGGCGAGGCTGGACCGCCTCAAGTACGTCCTGAAGGCGGGTTTGTTCGAGGTCGACGACAGTGATATGACGGAGGGCCAGACGAACGATTTCTTACGGGATATTGTCGAGCTGAAAAAGCGTCAGAAATCTGGGATTATGAGTGATAGGAAGAGGAAATCGAGGAATGATGCCGGGGAGGATAAAGACGGTGGGGATGGTGATAAGGATCTGAGTGGGGATGGGGCTTCCTCTGGTGTTGATCACGACAAGGATTTGAAGCGGATGAAGGCAAATTTCGAGGATCTGTGTGACGAGGATAAGATCCTTGTCTTCTTCAAGAAGCTGCTCAACGAGTGGAACGACGAGCTGAATGAGATGGGTGAGGCTGAGAAGAGAACAGCTAAGGGGAAGTCTATGGTGGCCACATTCAAGCAGTGTGCTCGTTATCTAAATCCGCTGTTTAAGTTCTGCAGAAAGAAGGTGAATTTTTTTATCATATGCAAGTGTAGTGTTAATTCCTCCGGTGTTGCTAACATGACTTTGTTTCTTGAATTACTGGCTGAATGCATAAATTAGTGTTGTTAGTGGTTTGAAGTAGCTGAATCTTATGCTAAAGAAGTTAAAGCATATTATTATAGGTGTTTTGAGAAGATAATATCATATTGGATTCACTACTTTCAACTCAGTTTGCATTTTCTTTGTAGAGAATGCAAATAAAGTTATCTAACTTACATACAAATACAATGTCGTTGGCTGATCACCTGCTGAGCATGTGTTCGAAATTTGAATTTACCTTTTTTCTTCCGTGAAACAGATAATGTGAGGGCAAGGTACTAAGAACTGCCACGTTTGGTGCCGGCTGTTTCAACTGTCTGTGATATTCTATTGTAGTATCTGAATATAAAGTATTAATCGTATTTACATCGGTTATTAGACTGTAGCAATTGACAATTTGAACAAGAAAGGTGTAATCTGGTAATTTCTCTTACATGATGAGTTATTATGATCATCAACTACCATGAAGAAATATTTATTAGTAGATGTTGATATCCATAATATAGCACAACATGCAAGGTTATTACATTCTTTTGCATATAATATGTTTGGTAAAGGTAAAGCTAGCTGATATAGAAAGTTAGTTGATAATGTATAAGTGGATTTCGAGCTTATAGCTATAGTTTATGGCAGATGGCTAAAAAGCTAGTTGATATGATAAAAGTGTTTAGCTTGCCAAATGAAATAAAAATTTCAATGTGAAAAGCTACCCCAAAAAAAAAAAAGCTTATGAGATAAGTTAGAGCTTTCTACCAAACCAAACTTATTTGTATATAGAAAACTTATAAGCTAGCTTATGGTGCTTACCAAACAAGATTTACTTGTAACTTTCCTTTTCCAGGTTCTTCCGGACGATATTCGTCAAGCGTTGATGTATATCGTTGACTGCTGCATGAGGCGCGACTATCTAGCCGGAATGGACCACTACATAAAGCTAGCAATCGGAAATGCTCCCTGGCCCATTGGTGTTACTATGGTTGGCATCCACGAACGTTCGGCCCGTGAGAAGATTTATACCAACAGTGTGGCCCACATCATGAACGACGAGACCACACGAAAGTACCTACAGTCTATAAAGCGGCTGATGACTTTCGCCCAACGACGTTACCCCACAATGCCCTCCAAAGCCGTCGAATTCAACAGCCTGGCGAATGGTAGCGATCTGCAGTCGCTTTTGGCAGAGGAAAGGTCGACTGGTGGGGAAATGCGTGAGGAGAAGCTTCTTTTGATGCCTGCTTCAAATAACGACTAGTTGACGTGTACTATTTTCTTCCCCCTTATTCTGGTTGTATTGAATTGAATGTACTTTGTGGTTTCTATGGCTAGACTGTGGTGTGTTTTTCTGGTTTATTGCTGAGAGGAACATATTTTATGGAAATTATGTTTTGTGAAATCAATTATTAATGATCTATTATAAGTTAATTAGTCTCTCTTGATGACAATATATTATTTAATTACAAAATATTATTGGTAATTTCCATTGGTGGATCTAGATGTTCGAGGCAGGCAACATTGTTCGTTCGACAATCTTGATGGATACAAATGTTAGGGGTTTGCTTGGATACAAATTTCTAAACGGATATCCATACATTTTTCATTTTTTTTTTTTTAACTTCAAATTTAACTCATGGCTACTCTCCTCAATATTATTAAAAATTAAAATAATTTTAATTCACTAGTTATGAATTCAAATAATTTTAACTACTTATCACTTTCAATAACACCTCTTATATATATACATATATATATATATATATATCGAATTAACTTAATAATTTTATTTTAAATTATTATTTTTATACGAAATCAAAATCTTGTTCAAACTTACTCAACCAACATAATCTATATAACTTTGATTAACAAAAAAATTTGATCAAAACTTGGTCAAATTTATAAGAAAGCACCAATGATTGTAGCCAGCGGGCTTGTGTTTGTACATAAAATAACTCAACTCATTCTCTAAATCCAATATGATTTTACTCAACTTCATTATTTTTAATATTATCATTATAATTAAATAATATTAATCAATCATTATTAACACAACACACCACATTTAATTTAGTATTAATTCACTCATATAATTTTGACTAATCATCAATTCACATCATCCTTCTTCTACTTTTACATCATCAATTAATTTTAATCATTTCACTTTAAATATTATTTTTATATTAACTCAAAATTTCACTAATAACAAAACATACTCTACATTTTTCAAAATTAGCTATGACTAGCAAAAAAAAAATATTTTAAGTGGATATATTTGTATGCAATCAACCAAATTGCGCGGAGACAAGTGGATAATTTAATAAAATACCAATTAAATTAAAACAATTACGAAAGGCTGGATGATGTCAGCGACTGGACGCCACGTGTGTAACGTGAATAGGTGTGGGCCACAGTCTAAAAAATTATCATGGAATTATTAATCTTGGAAGGTAGTTATGTGAAGAAAATAAATGAAATCAATGATAGAAGGAAATTATACGGATAGTTGCGAAATTATCTAAAATAGGCCAAACAAGAGATATTAATGGGGAATAGGCCCAAAATTGGAGTAAAATCGTGATTTCTTTTTCCAAAAAAAAAAAGAAAGAGATCTGTAATGAGGGTCCTATATATATATATATATATATAGATTGGATCCAATGAGTACACATATTTAAAGTGTGAATGTGAGACCCATTCCTAGTCACCAGATTGGTACATGATGTGTGGCCAAGATTTAACTCTTCATTTAAATAATAATTCTTTATTTTTATTACTTAATTCTTTATATTTATTATTTTAATTATTTAAATATTATTTTGACAATTGATCATTGACTTCGGCGTTGACCGTTGACTTCCGGCGTTGACCTTTGACTTCCGGCGTTGACCGTTGACCCCTAGTCTACATTTTGTATGAAGTAAATATGCATACAGTACTATGCACTTAGTATGAACTAAATATGCATAAGAAATGATTTATATATGTCATCCTTATAAACTAAATATGCAACAATAATATCAACTATGTATGCACTGTTTATGTACTAAATATGCACATTTTACTAACTAAATATGCATCAGGAATGAACTAAATATGCAACGAAAATATGTAATAAAATATACATTTTATACAAAAAAATTTAATATAATAATTAATGATTTTTTATTATATAATTAATTTTAATTTTAAATTGATTAATAACACAAATACATTGTTATGATTGGATCTCAAAATAAAATATGTATGCACTGTTCATGAACTAAATATGCATTTCGTAAGAACTAAATATGTATCATGAATAAACTAAATAATATGCATCATAAATTAACTATATAAATATCATTATATATTTAATTTAAATATAACAAGTATGCATTTTGTATTAACTAAACATGCATCAGAAATTACCTAAATTTTCACAATAAATTAACTAAATATGCATCATAAATTAACTATATAAAATGTATATTTTATTGTATATTTTTTCGCTGCATATTTAGTTCATTCATGATGCATATTTAGTTCATAACAGATGCATATTTAGTAAATAACACAAATAATTTTTATTATATAATTAATTTTAATTTTAAATTGATTAATAACACAAATAAATTGTTATGATTGGATCTCAAATAAAATAGGTATGCACTGTTCATGAACTAAATATGCATTTCGTAAGAACTAAAATATGTATCATGAATTAAGTAAATATGCATAATAATTAATTATAAAAATATTATTATATATTTAATTTAAATATAACAAATATGCATTTCGTATTAACTAAATATGCATCATAAATTACCTAAATATTCATAAAAAAATTAACTAAATATGCATCATAAATTACCTATATGAAATGCACATTTTATTGCATATTTTTCGCTGCATATTTAGTTCATTCATGATGCATATTTAGTTCATAATAGGTGCATACTTAGTTGATATTATTGGTGCATATTTAGTTCATAAGAACTGCATGTGCAATTCATATCCCATGCATATTTAGTTCATACTGAATGCATGGTACTGGATGCATATTTACTTCATACATATAATGCATACTAGGGGTCAACGCTGGAAGTCAACGGTCAACGTCGGAGTCAACGACGGAAGTCAACGGTCAACGGCGAAAGTCAACGATTTTTTGCCGGAAGTCAACGGTCAACGCCAGAAGTCAACGGTCAACGCCGGAGTCAACTAATATTTATTTTATTATTTAATTAATATATATTTTAAGGATTGGACTCATTTTAAGGAGTGGACTCATTTTAAGGAGTTGACTCATTGGATCCTCCCCCTATATATATATATATATATATATAATTAGTACAACACCCGTGTATTACCACGGGTGTTGATAATTTTTGTTCTTAAAATCTAAAATTAATGAGAAAAAGTAGTTTGAAAATTTAAATACCTTTTATAAGAATATATATATTATTATATATTTATTATGACACTTTTTATTTGTGCAACTTACTTGTATTATATTATACTAATTTTTTTAACTTACAATATATAACTACATTACATATAAATATATCAATTGAGAAATAATTTTATTTTTCTAATGAATTTTAATAAATATTATTATTTTTTATTATTATAAAGATAAATATAATTTATTTATTTCATATATACAATATGGATGTCAAATCGAAGATCATCAAAAGATGATTAATTTGATATATTATATATGTAAAACCGATAAGAAATACAAAAGTTATCACCTTTTAAAATACATTTATAATTCAATAGCTTATTGAAGGAAACAAATCAAAATTCAGGGATATATTAGTCACTTAGTGCCTCACTATGTAAAATTACAAAGAATTAAAGGGTTATATTAGTAAAAATGATATTTTAATACCTAAGTTAGCTAAATAATATTTATGAAATACCCGAACCTAGATTATTAATTATTAATATATCAATATTATTTATCCAAACCTAATTACGAAGCATGATTCTTCGCCAAATAGGATTCCGAAGCACCAGAAGCAGCTATGTAGGCTCAGCGCATTCGGGAATTATAAATCTGGCTAATAGTATTCAATAAAACATATAATAAAACCTCATTTCGATTTTGCTCAAAAAATCGTTACAAACTTTATCAATTGTATCTCTCTCTCTATATATTTAATTACTAATAATAAATTTAATAATATTGATTATTGTTTACCATCTTTTTATGTTACAATCTTCTATTATTATTATAATTATTATTATTATTATCTATATATATATAATTACTAGTTGATGCATTTAATAAAATATTTAATAAAACTTATTTTAATTTCCCTCCAAAAGGAGTTACATTTTTTTAATTAATTACTCACTAATCTGCTAAAACCGTTACACCTTAATATATATATATATATATATATATATATATATATATTTATTATTTATCTTTTGGATCAGATACTAAATTAAGTCTAAATTTGGTAGCAAAATATTCAAATGTGTAACAGCTAATGTTTGGAACTTAAAGTTGATTGGCACATTCAGAGTTGTAGCAGCTATATTTGGTTGCATTATTGGAAGAAAAATATGATTGGCACAAATTTTATTTTATTTTATTTTTTTTCTAAAAATCAGAAACACCAATATTTTTTATGATAATTTTCTTAATATATGCCACAAATATATAAATTATTTTGAATGATAAAAGTAACTTAAGAAAAAGTAATATTTTTTATATGATAAAAGTACATGTCTAATTAATAAATACAAACAAAAAACGTGTTTTATACCTGTACAAATGCACATGATCAAATACTAGTTTTGTTGAACACCAAGAAAAATAGGTACGTAGATCTAATTGTTATTTAACCATACACTCTTGAAATATTTATAATTTAAAAAACAATATAAATTACATTTCATAGCATAATTATAGCATTTTTTGTCATAAAAGTACGACGGGTCGACAACCTAACGATTAACTTTCTCCACGTACAAATTCATACTTGTAATAGTGTAAGTATGAAAATATGTCGGCAATTTGAAAACGTTATAACTTATCATATAAAAAATATATTTAATGTATCAATCAATGCTATAAATTAATTAGCGTGTAAAAAACATGCATGGCCATTGTATCAATAATGTGATCAACTTGCAATCAATCATATATATAACAATAATTGTTAATGGAAATAAAATAATATTTTCTGTTAAAATATCAATTTTGCTGGGCGCCCATTGCAGCTCACTACAAACGAAAATTGTTATATTCCAATATAAAATTATATGGTAATATATTTCAATGAATATTCCAACAGATTTTTAATGGTATAACTTCCGTTTGAATGGTTCTTACGGAAATTCCAACAGAAATATTCCGTTGGAATGTGTTTTTCATTGGAATTTTAGATGAAATTTGATGATTTCAACGTCTATATTTCCAATGATTTTTTACCGTAGGAATTTCTACTGGAATATACAATTTTCGTTGAAATTTGTATTTCCACCTCCGTCGAAAATCCACATTCAAACAAAAATTCTAATGGAAAACTCATTCTAACGGAATATTTTTGTTGGAATTTTCGTTGAAATTCATTAAAAAATGCCAACAGAAATAATAATATTAAAATATCTGTTGAAATTGTCATTGGAATTATTTTATTGAAATGTATTTCAGTTAGAATTCATCAATTTCTTGTAGTGTCTAGAATAGAATAGTAACAACCTCCATATGCCCCTCATCTAAACCAGCTTAGCAATTCAACATGTCACTATAAATATGCCACATAAGTGTGTCTGCAATTTCAAATCATCTTCAAAAAGCTTTTAGCACACTGAAAAAAAAAAAGTGAGGCTTTCGTATTATATAGTATTTGTGCTAAGGAAAAAAAAAATGGCTGGTGCAAGAACGCGAGTTGACGGATCTGTGAGGAATGTCCGGCCACCGACGGTCACCTATAGCCCCAGCGCGTGGGGCGATTATTTCACTCACTTCTTATTGGACAATCAGGTTAGCATAACTGTTACCATCAGTTTTGCTATGGAGTCATGTGATAACTCGGCTTATGGAGTCATCCATAGTTATTTACAAATAGTGTATTGACACATGTCCTACAATAATATACTTTGGACATGTGTCAATACATTAACTGATTGATGACTCCATAAGAAAATCATCCGATGGCTCTATAGAAATTTTGTAGTTACCATTGCTTTTATCAATATTTAATAATAATAATAATAACAATAACAATAATAATAATAACAATAATGATAGTATGATATAATACTAGTACAATACATGTGTATTTCACGGGAGTTGAATTAAGAAGCATATATAAAAAATATTAAAACTTTTGTTTTAATTTTCTTTTAATAAACTAAAATAATTTGTGTTTTAATTAAATTGTCATATTATATAAATTTTTTAACTTTATATGTAATTTTAGAATTTAGATAATTAGTTATTTATATTTGTTTGATTGAGAGGATACCAATTAAATTTTAAACAAATATCCTTTTTAAAAGACTAATGTCATGTTACTTCATATTTGAAACGAGTAATATGTGAATATTGGAGATAAATAATGAAGAATAAAGTAATATGATTGATTTAAGCAAAGATATGCAATGAAATATAAATAAAATAAAAAGAGAAGTATTATGACAACTATAAAAAAATATGGAATAAAATAAATAATGATTGTACAATAATAGAAATATTTAATATTTTATAAAAATAACATGTCTAATTGACATGACACCATAGCCAATAATTTATCAATCCAAAATATAGAATTATGACAAATAGAATCCTAAAGCATTCGAGTCTGCCAGTTACACATTCGGAAATTATATATAAATGAAATTTCGACATAAAGGTTGATAATTGATGTATAGGAGAACAAGTTGATATAATTTTAAAATTGATATGTTGCGATCATGCGTCTGTTATGTCAAACTCTATGTTCGTGTAGCATGACATCGATATATACACAAATGCTAATGTTAGACTGTTTAATCATTGAGAAATCATACTTTTTACGGAAATAAATCGTGTTTCTATGATCTAAATTGTCATACTTCTGTTTATATTTGTATTTGAAGTGTGTCATTTGAGTGTGGAAGTATGTAATGTGTTGAAAGAATATGGTTGCATAATATTAGACATTCTAAAAGAAGAATTACATGGTATATAAGTGTGGATGTCATATTTAAAACAAAAATGTTGTTCAATAGTATTAATATGCATTTTTGTTATGCATGGGTTGATATACTTAACTTTAGATTGTCTAACATGAAAATTAGATATTGAAAATTCATAATATAAGATACTTTTTTTTTTTTTAAAATAAAAGGAAATTCAAATTTTTACTAGTATAAAGGATTATGAAGCACAATTGCGGACAACAATATATCCATATCAAATGTTGTCAGCAAAAAAAGGTCATTTAAACTCGACAACTAATTTATGCATTGAACATGCAGGAACAAGAAAAATATGCAGAAGCCATTGAAACATTGAAGAAGAATGTGAGAATTACAATAATCGATGCAAAATCTAGCAAGTTGATTAACTTAATCGACACAGTTGAGCGCTTGGGACTGGGGTATCATTTTGAGACTGAAATCACTGATAAATTGGAAGAAATATACAAAGATTTGCACGAAAAGTATGAAGATCACGACCTATTTACTACTGCGCAAGGGTTTCGTCTATTAAGGCAACATCAGTATCAAGTTTCATGTGGTACATCCTTTCATTGCTCTTCCTCTCCTTTATTTGCATCCGATTTACATTTAACACAAAGTTTTGTATGAGGCATTTGACTAACTGTTAGACACAGGTCGACTCGTCATGCTTCTTCAACAAAAATGCATACATGTGTTATAATACTTATGTTATAAAATGTCACGATTATGTTTATGTTATTTTTTAGAATACGAGTGACATTTTAGTTTTAAAGTATATATAGTTGTTCAAAGAGTATACTGATGTCTAACATGAATCAATAAGAATCACACTTATACTATCTTTATGTTACTTAGTTGAAATTTTATTTGATCCATAATGATATATATGATCGAATCATAGGCATTTTCGAGAAATTTAAGGATGGAGAAAACAAATTCAGAGATAGCATCGCTAATGACGTTGAGGGTTTGTTGAGCTTGTACGAGGCGGCTCATGCGCGCATTCATGGGGAGGATATTTTAGACGAGGCTGTTCCATTTACGACCCATCACTTGAAGCGGATATTAGCCACCGAGTTATTAGAGCCCTCACTTGAAGGAAAGATTACACGAGCTTTAGAGCATCCTTATTATAGGGGTGTTCCGATTATTGAGATACGCATTTACATTTCTCATTACGAAAAAGATGATTCGAAGGACTCACTTCTTCTCAAACTCGCCAAACTCAATTTCAATTTCTTACAGAATTTGTATAAGGAAGAAATGTCTGAAGTCTCCAAGTAACTTCAACATTTTCCTTTATTTTCGCTTTTTTTTGGGGGTTTCGAAAAGGTTAATGAAAAAGGTGATCATAAGTTTTTTCATTTATCGCTTGTTGTATTTTGAAAGGTGGTGGAATCAATTCGACCTCAAGTCTAAACTGACGTATTCAAGAGATAGATTGATCGAATGTTATCTTTGGGGAGCAGCTGTGCATTTTGAGCCTCAGTACTCTTATGTTCGAAAAAATGTTGCTAAAAGCATGCAAATGGTGTCGACAATGGACGATACGTACGACAATTATGCTACACTTGAAGAAGCTCAACTTTTGACCGACCTCTTGGAAAGGTATGCATAATCTTATCTTGGAAAGTAATGTACATTTTTTTTTTTTAATTTTTTTTTTAATTTCCATTTTAAATTTCTCTTTTATAATATGTACATAGAGATTATCCCATTAGGAGTATAAATTATAATTTTTTTTCCAGATGGGATATGAACCAAATCGATCGACTCCCAAACTACATGAAGATTCTATATAGATTCATCATGAGCATATGTGAAGACTATGAACGTGATGCAGCAGAACAAGACAAATCCTTTGCAGTTCCCCATTTCAAAGAATCAGTAATAAACATCATCTATATAATTTATGTGGCATTGAAAATTCCAAAGTTACAAACTAAGTAATTTCTACGCGAGACATAATATATATTATAATTTTTTGATGATTCGTTTTATTAGAATGCGCTCGTCTAGTCTTAGCTTATTGGAGATAAAATTCGTCACATTATTAAGTAGTAACAAGATAGAAGTTATTAGTTTTCTGCTTATGCACTTGTAAGTTGTTCATTATTGTTGAAACTATCCATAAATATTGTGTATGTGAACACTTGAGTTGGTGAATTAGGTGAAACAACTTGCCCGAGCTTACAATCAAGAACAAATATGGATAATGGAACGCCAAATGCCCTCGTTTGAAGATTATATGAACAACTCGGTGATCACAAGTTGCATATACGTGATGTTCTTGGCTCTAATCCCGGGCCTCAAATGTGTTACCAAGGAAGTTGTTGAATGGTTGGTGAACGATTCTAAACTTGTAATATCTACTGCTAAGATGGGTCGACACCTTGAGGATTTGGGTAGCGAAGATGTAAGTATATTGTACATTAATAATTAAGCTAACTATATATATGAGCTCTTCATTTTTCATGTAGTGTGGTGAAAGTTGAAACTTAACGAAGTCTTTTATTTTTTTATTATTATTTTTTTTTTCTTTTTTACATTTTGAAATCCTGAAGCGCGAGAATAGAGAAGGAAAAATGCTCACGGTTGTTGATTGCTACATGAAGAATCACAACGTGTCAAGAAAAGAGGCATTATCCAAATTCAAAGAGTTTGTGGAGAATGGTTGGAAGAACATGAACACGGAGTGGGTCGCCAAAAGCTCAATACCAAAAGAAATGGTTGTGCAAGTCATTAACTATGGACGGGTGGCCGAGGTGACTTACAAGAACTCGATAGACCATTATACGTGTCCTGAGAAGTTCATGACTCCCGTGATTACCGCTACATTTGTTGACCCCATTGCTATTTGATTTTTGAAATTATCTATTATTGTTGTGTGCTTTTGTTGCGGCTTGCATTGTTAAGCATATTTTGTTCTTGAATTCTGGTTACTTGTTTGGATTTTTATTGTTTTTGTGTGCTCTTGTTGCAGCTTGCATCGTTGAAACATATATGGTTGTTTGAGTATGTAGCACTAATAAAGAATTATGAATAATCATTATATGTGAAGTTGTGTATTGACTGGTGTCAAATGGACAAAGATTATTGGCCATGGTATCTTTGAAAAGAATTTCGAACCTTTTGTCACACAAATAGATTATACATACCGGTGTGCAAACGACTTGCATCATGTTTGCATGACCTAATATGCCCTCTAACCTAATCGTAGACTTGCAAAATGGGTCGGGAGAAGTTCCAGGCGTTATAGCTTCGATGATCAAATAAGTTCACAGACGAGGAAGACGATGAACAATGTATGTAAATCTCTGTAAGTATGTAGAGAATGTAATGTATCAATAGACTCTATTTATAGAAGTGTGTTACCTTGTTGCCTAAGACTGCTCAGATGGACTATCCAGACTGCCCGAACTGCTCGTTGGTACTGTTCGATTAGGATAGGCCACGTGGCTCTATCCACGTGCGGTTCTTATATTCATAATATTTTTTCTTATCCATTACAGACGGTCTAATTGTGCGACTGACCCATGTCCCTCGAGATAGAGTGCTCCTTGTGCTAAGCTTTCGTGTCTTGTTGTTCGATCCATTAACCAGTCATGCCTTCAGGTAAAGTTTCAACTAGGCCATCCGAGGACCAAATGGACGTAGCTCGACCTGTCTGTGCTCTTTTGAACCCGTGATGTCCTCATCGACCTAAGTACTTCAATATTTAGCGCCTTTGATCTCCGATCGACCTATCGGTTCACCTAATTCAATCAAGTTGTCTCTAAGATCAAGTCAACCCAGTATGATATCCTATATCACATACCATGGAGTGTTGTTTTTTGAAAGTAAATTTTGATTAAAGGTAGGTGTCCAACATGAAGCCTCCACACCGCTTATCTCTATTTTTCACCGTCTTGTGCACTAATCGGCTGGACTTTTCTCTATTCTTTTTATGTGCGGCCTAAATAGACTATTATCCGACCTTTTCAGTTCTATTCTTTTTTCTCCACCTATTTTCTTTTAATTTCTTTGTTCATCGTTGACATCTGTTTTCACTTTGTTATTTTCGTTGTTTTCTGCATGTAATTGATTAATTTCAATTTGGCATATTTAACACTCAACACCCCCAAAATAGTTTATCTGCAAAAAATTGCCCTTAACTCAACTGCTATTCAAGCGGATTTATGAAAGGGTTGAAGATTGGTTTTTTTTTCTTCCTCCTTATATTTTTTTCATATTTTTTTAATAATTAATGAACAAAGTTATTCTTATTATTATTATTACTTTTTTGTAAGACTTAGAGGTTTAGATTGTGGACAATTTGATCTTTTGGTCAGGCATAACTTTGTTACACATAAGATATGACTATCATGATCCCAGTATGTGATTGTTTGAAGAATCTTGTTGTGGTGGTGGCATATGAGTTATAGGTTAATTAAATTTGGTCGTTTCTATCGAGTATCGACGACATGGGTCTGAAGTGAATCGACTGTTGTAAAGCTCCGATCGTCTAGAAACAACTGGTGACATGCAAAACAAAAGGTCGGGAGGAACTCTCGGCGTGAGCACTCCGACAATCAAAATAATACATAGGAAGATGTAAATTCTGTATTTAGAGAGTTATATGGAATGTGTAGGTAGTGAAAAAATGTAGAGAGTTTACCATGGTACCTCAGCCCCTTTTATAGAGTACCCTAATGTCCAAGATTGGGCTACCCAGCTGCCTAAAACGGTTATGGGATGCCCGATGTTTAGTCTTATCCTGATCTTGTCCTCATCATCATTAGATTACTTCTTATTCTGAATTAGATCCCCTTGATGCCCGTTAAATCTTTCTCTCCACCCCCGTTTCCAAGTGCCCACAATCATCCAAGTATCCACATGTCGCAATCCACCAGATCGTCTCCATGATTATCAATAAATAGGATCCCTAGGCTAGACACCATCCTACATGTCGTCTTCTGTAGGTCAATAAATTGCATTAGTTTAAGTCGTTCTCGTTGTGTTGGGTCGTCTCCTTATAGTTTTAGTCGAGTCGCTCCTATCCCCCTTGTATCCAAGTGTTCTCCATAGATCGACCTAGCTCTTTTTTGAACAGGTCGACCTAGATTACTTAGCATCGCTCTGATTTAGTCAAGCAGTCAAGCTATGGCTATATCGGTTATGTTATTAGACCCCATCAAATGGACTTCATTGTCATATTTTTAGAAGATGTTATCTAATCATTCAAGTTTTCTTTTTGATTATCTATGTCTTCATATTCTCATCCATTATCTTGCTATTGAATTTTTTCATCCATTTTCTTGACATAAAGTCAAACTGTGTCGGTTGTAAAGCCGAATAATTCAGTGTCAATTTCCTCGAGCATCAAGTATCCATACACATGCCTAATTTGCATCATGTCATTAGTGTAAGCTTGGATACCAATTTTCTCCCAAAACAAAAAAAAAAAATAAAAAAAAAAATAAAATAAAATAAAAAAATCAATCCAATCAGTTTTAACTAGTCACTTTTTTTAACTCAAACATTATTCAACTTTAACTCAACCTCACCATCTTCAATATTATTATCAATATAATTAAATAATATCACTCAATATTCTTACCACATTACATCAACTTTAATTAACTATTTATCTACCAACATAATTTTAACTGACCATCACTCCGCATCATCTTTCTCATACTTTTACGTCAAATCAACTTTAATAATTCTATTTTAAATATTGTTTTAATATATAAATTCAAAATATCACTGACAACTAACTATGCTACTTTCTTTTCAAAATTAACCATTTCAAACCAAAAAAATCCAATAAAAAAAATTGTATCCAAGCATCCCAATGTTTTTTTTTAAAAAAAAAATTAAAAGTAATAATCTACTTGAGTAGATTGACGCTTTAAGTCAAATGGCACATGACGGAGGTTAATCCGCAGTCTTACTTCAATAGTCAATATAGTGAATAGTGGATAATATATTCTTCTACTTGAATAGTGAATAGTGGACATTCTCCAAGATTTGCATATAGTTTGAAAGCAACCCAACAGATATTCTACAGGGTTTGCATATCCAAATTGAAAAAGTTTAGCTTAGATTAGATGGGATTTAAATTAGAGATAATTACCCTTTACATTAGACCATTCCTTTTTTATTACATAACTAGTTGTAACATGTGCATTTGCACAGAAAGCTATATGATAAGGAATAAAATAATAAAAAATTATAAACAATAGTAAAAATCATAATATAATCATAAAAAAAAAAGTTTTTTTTTTAAAAAAAAATAAATATTATTAAACACTTCTTTATGTGCAGCATTCGTGGTTTTTTAATCGTCAGAATGTCCATCACCACAAATCATTATCTTCAAACCCCTTCGGCTCGTAACTCTAGAAAGCGCCACGTACAATTGTTCATGGCTAAATACAGGGTTCTTCAGTAGTAAGCTGATGTGCGACATAATTGTCCTCCACTCTTATTGATTGTCATAACATAGGAAACCATGAGCAGAAACTGCCTGCGCTGAAACTTGAAAGGTACCCTCAAATCAGATGGTATGATTTTGAGCCTACGAATAAGAACCTTATCACCAGCTCTGGCACCGATTCATATTTTGCGTTCGAATACATGGCTGTTGAGCTTAGTAATAACTAATCGAGTATATGTTGATCTCAAAATTTGGAGAACAAAAACATATCAATCGAATTGTACACTAATCAAAGAAAATATAAATGATGGATAAGAATTATATTGACTGCCAACTGAAGTGCACCCTTTGTCGTTGGATGCGATTACCATTTATCGTTGTACCGGTTATGCTGATATCTTCATAACTATCACTTGCAACCTCAAGTGGCCTGAAATCAGTCGATTCCTTTCTAAAAGGAACCTCAACCCTGAGGATCGTCTAGATATAATTTGTAGTGTCCCATATAGCACGGCCAAAGTTTCATCCACCACACATATATAGAACATTTAAGAAGGTGGAAGAGGCATGTATTTGATGCATGAAACCCTACCACGTGCAACATTTTTGCCGTTTCTTCTTCACTTTTAATTTTTTTCTCTCATCTGACACAAACACTCGGATCGATTCCTATTTTGTTTAGCTGTCGTAGTCATGCTTTTAATTTATCTACGGGGAAGCTATTGATCTAGATGTGAATTGTTTGTTTAAAGGTTTAATATATTTGTATGCTTTTTGTATTATTTCATGGATAAAGTTTTGGAATCATTTTTGTTGTATAAATTTTCTATGACAAATAATTTTGGTCGGGAAACACCTTAAAATTTTCTATGGCATAAATACGACCCTCATTGATTTTAAACTTCTTAAAATTTTTCAGCGAAGCAACCCGGGCCTGAAGCATGAATTCACTGACCCTACACGATAAAAAAATAATATTATAAAAAATTGATATTGAAATAGTATGTGTTAAAAAAGAATTGAAAAATTTTTTATACCTTGACATCGTGAGATACGTACTTCAATCCGCCATTTTGATGTTTTTTCTTTTTATTTTCATTTCATCAAAGATCTTGTTGAATAATGGCGAATCAACCTCAATATTATTAAACATGAAAGCCATTTGAAATGAGAATTTGGCTGAATTTTTTTTTCCTGTTGAGTAGTATTTTTTGCTGAATGTGATTTTGGTTCTTATTTTTTCAGCTATTTATAAAGTTTTAAAAAATGGTCATTGATTGTATAATTTAATTGCCAAGTGATTGCTCAGTTTTAAAGAATAACTGATTGATTATAATTTATTTTTTTGACTGACTCTAATATTGTCCCGCCATTTTAATTGATGGATTGCATGATTCTTCATTTATACAATATTTAAAACTTAAGATAAATAATGAGTATATCATATTGTAGAAATTTTATGGTTTGTAAATATAAACGATATAAGTATAAACTATTTAACCTACATATAAATCACTCTAATGATAATTGTAGAAAATAATAGTAATTATGACTAATTAATTAGATAAAAAATGTTTTGGTTATGCCATAAAAAGTAATTAATTATTTTTATTAAAAAATATTAATGAGTTAAAAAATAATTATTATTTTAAATAAGTATCTTAAAAAATCTAATTTTTTTATATGTATAAACTTTCTTATATCATTTAGTTATTATTAGTTATTACGTAGTTATAAAATATATAATTTAATTAATTAATAAAAAATATAACAGCTTCTTTTTACAATTAGTTGAATAAAATGTGCTTATTTTTTATTTGAAATAAATTCTTTGTGAATAGTTATATATATAGGAATATAAATATAATCATAACGGGAATGATATTTATATAAAATACATTAAATATTATTATTGTTATTATTATCATTACTACTACTATTTGAGGCTATGAATTTTATTTAAACGAATGCATTTTTTAAAAATTAAACACGTACTTATGCAACAATAAATTGTCTTTTATAAGAACGATTGTTTTATTTTAATTTTCTATTTTTGTATTATACCCACAGGTTTTGGTAGAATATTTTGTAATCATTCTATTTAAAAAAAATAGAATAAAATTTAGAATTATTAAATGAGCGGATAAAGTCGTAACAATTAATTTTAACATTAGTATGATTACATATTAAATAAAAAATCAAGCTACTATGTATAAAAAAAAGAGTGGAATATGCAAATTTTTATTGATGTGATAATTCCTAATTATATATATAGATTATTTTAAATTTTAATTAATTTTTATTAGATGTCATAAAATAAAATAAAAAGATGAAAATATCATTTAAAATAATGAAACGTTACAATGTATAATCATAAATGTACAATAATAATCCGTAATTGTAAAAGTAACGTTCATTGTATATGGAAGGTTGTAGTATTTATTAGGTAAAATTAAATAGGTTTTATTTATGAGGTTTTATTTAATGATTAGCTAGCAATTATATATATATATATATATATATATATATATATAGATTACACCTGTCAAATAAATATTAGCAAAATTACTAGAATTGTTATATTTATTTGCAGTTATGCTAGAATAATTATTTAGTCATTAATTAGCATAATTAATCACTAATTAACGAGAATGGGGAACGTTTCCGTTTTTCTAAAAACTGATCTCTTATTTTTATGGTAATAAAATCTTTCTCCCGTACCTATTTGCGAGAATGGATGGAATCCGACTCGACAGACGACTAATGGTGGCGTGAACATAGATGTGGGAGCAGACATCATGATTGGAACGAGGAGCTTTATTAAGCGGCGCGATTACGTTTGTAACGACGACGCCATCGGCGTACGACTACACCGTCGGCGGCGCTCTCGACGACCTCTGCCTTACGTGTGAACTGAAATTCCGGATCCCTGCTCGCGAATGTTTAAGGCGGCGTGAGGAGACGAAGGGTGACCGTGACCTAGGGCGTCAATCTCCCTGCTCGCGATTTTCATCTCCACTAGACAGTGTATATGCCATATATATGTAGTATATTTATACCTTTTTGGTTGTTTGTGTAGTTGCAGGTATATATACTGTATATTTTTCGTATATATACTGTTTATATTTTTTTCATATGCACACTATTAGAGTGTGTATAGTTTGGTTTTTTTGTATGAAAGATTTGAATTGAAAATTATAAGGATCGACATGATCATAAGTATATATATTGTATATTTGTCGTATATATACTGTTTATATTATGTATATTTTCTGTATATATTGTGTTCTCCACCATCTAGTTGATCAGAAAATGGACGACGCTACTTGTGATTGACGCTGCTCGTGATGGACGACGTTGCTTCTGATTGTATAGTTCAGATTTTGATTTTTTTTTTTAATTAATGAGAAAGAATACCGTCAATTACGGGAATCTTATGATGGCAACTGTTTATTGTTTGTTTGATAGTATTTATCCAAATAATTTTATTAAACTAGGCATATTTGCAAATAAGTTTTGATTTTTGTATTTATGCAATTATTTTAAGTTCTTTACCGTATAAATGCAAATTGCCCTTTAAATTATGAGTATTTTCAACCTCCATTTTTGTGGGCTTGTGAACAACACATCAGCCTTAGTAAATGGGCCAAATGGCTTCATATCCGGTATAATATGTACCAGCCGAACGCACCCTTATTATATTTTCTTTTTCTTTTTTAAATCCACAAAAGAGCAATTCAGGTTCAAACAAATAATAAAAAATCATATAATTAATACTTTTCAAAAGTAAAATCTAGTTGTGCATGAGAGAATCGACAGCACAGGATATATGACTGTTCTAACTTTTGAATAGAAGCAAAAGTTGCAAATATTCAACCCATCTCACATCTATAGTCTCACTAACATAATTAAAATAAATAATAAAGATTATAATATATTTTTCAAAAGTTGCAAATATACTTTTGAATAGAAGCAAAAGTTGCAAATATATTTCTCCAGCTATCAATTATAACTCACATGTCTCAACATATTGATTATTTTATTTTCTTTCATATTTATTGTCGCTGAAAATTTATTCCAAGGGGAGAGATATAATGATTGACACTACAGAGAAATTGTCATACTCCCTCCTATTTTTATTATTTGTCGTTTCGAGAAACACACTAATTAAGAACTTTTTTTCTTACCAATATTAACTCTATTTAATGGATGTTATGAGAAACAACGTAGATGGAATATGAAGAGACACTGTGCATTAGATGAAGAGTTAAAAATGGAAAAATATGAATAAAATAGCTAAAACGACATTTATTTAATCAATGATCAATTAAGTCAGGATGAAAAATAATAAAAATAGGAGGGAGTATATTTTAATGATAATTCGAACGGATTGTGTAGCGTCCGTTGGAAAGATTTCAACGAAAATATCCAATAAAAATATTTCAATGGAATGAACTTTCTATTGTAATTTTAGATTTAATTTGGCGATTGATCAACAATAATTTTGTCAACATTTTTTTACGTAGGAATTTCAGTTGGAATTTTTATTTCCATACATATTTCTACCGTTGGAAATGTAATGTTGGAATCGTCGAAATCTAACGGAAATTTCAATGAAAAACTCATTCAAATAGAATACCTTTGTCGAATTTTTGGTAGAATTCATTGAAAAATTCCAGTGAAAATAGCATTGAAATTGTTGGAATATATTATTATACATATTGTTACATTATATTGTCATATATTAAATTATTATGAACTCGTTTGGATATTAATAGATTGATAAAAAATTAACGGGTTGAAACGCATTTAGAGGACTCGTCAAATCCGTTAACTAATTAGTTCGGTAAATGACTTGTTTCATTAGTTTTTTTGGATCCAAAACTCTTACTTTAAAAAGTCTCAATATACGAGATTTTGGTGTATTCATAATATAATCTACAACATAATATTTAAGATTATTATAGAAACAACTAATTACCAACACTCGTTTTACTAACCGTTGATAGAATTCATTACTCATATTAAGTGTTACAATCTGCTATCAACTATTCACGAATATTTGTTATCAGCTAATAGTTAAAATTTGCATGTATAAAATATAGTAGTTCTTCCTCTGTTAAGCTGTCTCACGATTAAACAATCATACTTTTTCCACAAACTTGCATTCTTTAACACTCATGTGTCATACTTTATATTATAATATAAAAAAAAATATATATATATGACTTTATTGTGTAAGTATACATTTATGGGAAAAGTATGAGTGTAAAACGACTAGACAACCGAAAAACAGTCTTTTGTGTGTAAATTAAAGTCCAACATATCTATAATTGCTTTTATAATATATGAAGAATGAGACTATTTTTTTTTTTTTTTTTCCTTCAAAATCAACACCCCGGAAGTAGTCTCCATGAATAATGCAATAAATGCTATTGAAATTGCATTAGAAAGGGGGGAAAAATGTGTCTATTAGAATTATAAAATTTGTTAGGGTGGTGCATTTGTTACCTCGTCACTATAAATACCCGACACCAGTGGATGGACCTTCAAGCACAAAAAGCTTTTGTGCACATAAAAAAAAAAAAAAAAAAAAAAAAAAAAAA